GAAAGGGGAGCAGGAAGCCTGGCACAGACAGGGGCTCTGCGTGGGGCGGAAGGGGGGAGGGAACAGAGGGGTGGGAACTAGAGACCCCCACACACACAGGCAGGGAAAAGGGAAGCAGGGAAGTTGTGCTGTCAAGACCCCCGCCCCAGCCAGGCAGGGACACAGTCACAGGACGCCAGCTCTGGGGGAACATGGCTCTGGCTACCACTGCTACTGCTGTACTCACTTGCAGGTCAATCCTCGCCTTGATTCCCCCTAGCCTGCAAGCCCAAGGAGGCCCTGGCAGCAATAGCCGCCCACAGCCCTCCCCCTATACCAGGGCAGGAGCCACACATGTCACTTTTCTCACCCCAGGGGCATCCTCAGCCTACCACTGCCACTGCCACCTTTACTGTTTGTTGCTGGTGCTGTGCTGGGCTGGGCAAGCCGGCTGGGAGGGGGGAGGGTATGTGCTGTGCCCTCAGGAGAACAGAGGGTGGAAGGCAGGGTAGGGGTGGAGATCTCTTTGCACAGCCAGGCCAGAGCATGGTGGATCCCCCAGGTGCTGTGGGCTCCTCCCGGAGTGGGACCTGCAGGTGTCTAGAGCCCAGAGGTGCTACTCAGCCACACAGCCGCAGCACATCAGGCACTGTCTCAGGAAAGCCCCACAGGCATCATCCTCCTTGCAGAACCTACAGCAGCCATCCTGTTGCAGCCGAATGCCATGATATGGCCAATTGTTGGGGAACTTGGCCATATGGCATTTCATTGCAAATTGTATTTTTCATGAAAAATCACTTAATTTGGTGATTTTCATGCAAAATGTGAAAGCCCAATTTAAACCAGGCCCCACTTATGAAGAACAGTGTTTTCTAATGGACATGCTTGCTCAGCCTTGATTACAGCCATGTTATCAAGCACTATTTTAATAAACAACTAAATAGACCAGTGATTCTTAACCTGGGATGCCTTGAGAGCCTTTCAAGGGTGCTCTGGGGTGCCATACAATGTTAGCACTGTTAGGTGGGCAAACATGATTCACGAGATAAACCCAGAGATTTCAAACAAATTCATAGTGTTAAAACAGAGTGTTCAAACTTTTGGACTTGTTGTGGTCTTCCTGACTTCTTGCAACAACCAAGAGTTGGCATGTTTTGATAAGTGCCTTGAATGCAAAAGGGCTGAGAACCACTGATATATACAAACAAAAGAGCATCCAATATTATCTGAAATATTAACTGACTACACTATGCATGAGTGAAACAAAAGTATTATGCACACTATTTTAGCTGCAAAAGCAGGAGTTAGCAACCTATGGCTCACATGCTGGATGCAGCCACAAAGGCTTGGATCTGGTCCACAAAGGTCTGATTTGGGGTGTCTGCATGTATGCATGTCGGGGTGGAGGGCTGCAAGTTTAAAAGGTTCATTTTAAAGTGGTGATTTAAAAGAGCTGCATTAAAGCTTCCTGTTATATGTTCTTGCCATTATATTTGCTGCTCCCCACTAGCATTTGTCATGTCTTACAGTGACACCCAGTAAATGGAGGGGGGCACAGAGCAGGGAAGAGATCAGAAAGCCATGGCAGTTGCCAGGTCACAAATGCCTAGCCTGTCGCTCTAAAACCCCTGTATTTTCATTACCCAGTAGATCCAGTTAGGTAAATAACATTGCTATAAGAAAGTGCTGGTGGTAACAATTACTGTGAAAAAATAGTATTGTAAGTATAATAATTACCGTTAGGAATTCAATAATCCTTGAAATTATAAAAATGTTATATATTATTTAGTAATACAGTATTTATTTCCCATAATTAATATTTTCAGGGCCATGCTATATTAGTTTTCCCAATCCTTTGTAAATGCTAGAATAAGGAGTAATAGCTGTACCCCTAGTTTTATTTAGTATAATTAAGAGATATTTAAAACTTTTATATGGCAATAGGCTAGTAAGGCCAAAACATTTACTGACATTAAAATGTTTTATTTATTATTACAGGAAAAATTACAGATGATTTATCAGGGAAGACGTTTCATTGCATATAAATTGTCTTGTAAACAGGCATTTAAAAAGTGGAGAACAGATAATTACAATTCTGTAGTGTGAAATCTTTTCTTAAAATGTCTCCACTTAATACAAAGAGTACAAGATGTGTTAATAGTACCCTGTCTTCTAGTTATTAATACATTAGTGATTACTACAACTATTGTACTGTCAACTGGTGTAGCCAAACAACCAGTTTCTTTTTATAAACTATTGTTAGTTTTTAGGTTTGGCCTTTAAACTGTTTTTATTATAGCAGCAAGTTCACGCCTCTGCAGTCAAGACTGGTAGTGTTGGGAGAATTTGGGTATATTATTCAAAGTGTATCACTTGACTCATACATACTAAACTCATTTAGGATGAATGTCTCAATGCAGGTACAAAATTATTCCACGACCCAAAATTATCTGGGCAATACCATGGGCGTATTTTAAAACTGTTACCTATTTAAAAAGCAAACAAACAATGTTTCCTGGTGTATATCAGATCTGAGAACTGATGAATTCCCAGGTGTCTAGCCATGCTACTGAAGAGGCATTATTCTGTAGAAAGAGACAAGTCTTGGAGCTGCTGAAAAAGCCAGAGCTTAAATTGAGTCCTACCCTGCTTCACTCACCCTGACTGGACCTAAACCTGCCCTTCCAGTCAGCCTCCTTCAGAGCTGCATTTTCTCAAGAATTTAGTGAAATTCTCAAGCTGCTGCCCCAGTCTGGTACAGCTCCCTTAGCAGTGGCAGAGATCAATCACCAACACTTTTAGTAGCATTTGAACAGTTAACACTGCTCAGCTGCCAGTCTAGAAAACATTGTGGTAAATGTCCTGAAAGCCCCTCTGTACTAACGTTCCCATCCTGCTACACCAGTTCTTGGAGTGGGAGAATTAAAAAAAGTCTGTGTGGGTGAGTGTATAAACAAGACAGTATATGTAGCAGTAGTGGGGGGTGTGCACCTATAGCAGAGGCTAAAGATAGGTTTCTTGCTTAAGGCAAAAGCTATGCCATGCTGAAGAGAAGACTAGCTGCTGAAGAACAGGAAGCTTCGAATGAAAATTTATGTTTAGCAAGAGGGATCATTTCAGCAGCCCCTATAGCAGGAATTAGGTAGAAAGTTAGAGGGGCAAGAGGTAGCTCATTTTATAGACAGACAAGAAAGAGATTAGAGCAGAACGTGTCACAGGGGAATAGGAATAAGTAAATGCCCAGGCTAAGTAGATTTATTCTTTGTGCTTTAATGCAACAAGCCTATATTCATTAGATTCTCATTATTTAAGATAATTTTCTCTTAAATTACATTTGATCATATGAACTAAGTACCAGATTTTCTAAAATTTACATTTCTATATCAAATTTAAAAAATCACTTTTGACTTTGATTCATAAAATAAAAAATGCACATTTTAATTTTTCTAAGCAGAAAACCTTACCTTTCTCTGATAAATCGCAATCCAATCTGTAGTAGCAAACCACTTGTGGTTCTTTATGTCATTTACACCATTCTTGAGATTTCCATATCGTTTGGTCAAATCTACCTGGAGTAAATTTCGTAGAAGATCCTTTAGGTCTGAACTGAAGTGTGATGGGAACCGTACCTAAAACACACGTTAACATAACAACATTATAGTACAGATATCAGCTTTTTCTCCTTTGTAAATGAAGAAAAGTAATATTTACATAAAAAACCTACTGGATCATACTATATTTAACATCTAAGCACACAACATCCTGGAGCACACGGACAGAAATATAGCTATAGTGAATTTCCATTTCAAAAGACCTTTTGCCAATGGTATACAAATTTGTCAAACTTTTATTTCTGCCTTAAACTTTCCTCAAAAAGTCACTCTAAGTGTGGAGTAGGGGTTACATAACTGGCTAATTTTGATTCAACTGGTATGATTCAACTCCAACACATCAAGGTTCTTTAACCTCCTCCTCAAACTTTTAGGACCCTATTTTAAAATAGACATGCAAAAATTTGATGCTGATTTTGAGAGTACATTTGGGCTGGTAGGATAAAGGGGGCCCTCCTCTCTCTTATTCAATGGATTATAGATGAACTCACTTATATTTGTGAAATCAGATGCACGTAAAATCCAACAATATGGTTTAAATTTCTGATTTGGAAAAGCATGGATATAGAAAAGATAATTAAATAAAAAGTTTTGTGAACATCAATAGGGATATCTAGAGATTGCACTATAATACTTTACAAAAATTAATTTTTCCTTTACAAAACTAAGAAAGAGTAAGCAGTCAGTACAAAACTGTTTAACTATTTGTCAGCTAAGGGCACTGTAGGGAACTGAACTAATAGCAGATTAAGAAAATTTGGTTTTAACAAGTTGCTATAATTGCACTTTTAGTAGTCAGATGAAAATTCCACTGGAGTATTATATAATCTGTGTGTATAATCCATCTGTGGACTGTACATATGCTACCAGTCAAATTCTCAGCTGAAAAATTCTTAGCATTGTTTAAACAAGCAAGAGTTGGTTTGACTTACTAACACAGTTGATTCTAGGTTGGCTAAGAAGTATTTAAAGATAGTTTATTTGACAGTTTTACCAAGTAGTTTTAAAGGGCCTTACTAGCCCTGTGGTGGTGATATATCAGGAGATATATCCAGGAGAACTAATGCTGGAGCAGAAATTGAGTAGGGCAAAAAAGTAATCAAATAAACGAATACACTTTTTTAATGGAAAGAACCACAGGAAACTTAATGTTACAATTTTACAGTTTTCTGCCTAGCACATTGGTTCCACACTGGCTTAGAAGGAAGGACGCCAGGATTTGAAGCATCAGCTCTACTTCTGCAGCACCAGGGTTGGGCAGGTATGAACCTCTTGCAGCCCCAGCAGAGCCTCCTAAGCTGCCAGCTCCTGCAGGCAACACAGGCTCAACTGTAGCTACTGCTCCCAAGACAAAAAACGCAAAGTGTTTGTCATAGGAGACTCCATTCTGATGGGGACTGAGGGGCAATCTGCCACCCCAACCCCTGGGCCTGGGAAGTCTGCTGCTTCCCAGGAGCCTGTATCAGAGACATTGTGGTGAAGATCCCTAAGCTCCTCCGGCCCACTGACCACTACCCTATGCTCCTTATCCACGTGGGCACGAATGACATGGCTTGGAGCAATCCCAGCCGGGTCATGAGGTGCTACAGGGATTTGGGAGCAGGGCTTAAGGGGTTGGGGGCACAGGTGGTGTTTTCATCAGTCCTCCCAGTTTTGGGCTATGGGCTGAGGAGGGAGAGGAGGATCGAGGTAGTAAACCAAAGACTGCAGCACTGGTGTCATCGGGAAGGCTTCAGCTTCCATGACTACAGTCCACTCTTTGGAGAGAGAGGCAGCGAGCTGCTGGGAAGGGACGGCCTCCACCTCTCTCCTCTGGGGAGGAGGCTCTTTTCAGCCAGACAGGCTGACCTGCTCCACTGGGCTTTAAACTAAACCCGCCGGGGGACAGAGGGACTACTGCCACTGCTGGCCTGCTGAGCAACTCTTGCAAAGCCAGCGGGCCAAAGCACTTAAGGGAGCCCACCCCTGCCCCAGCCCTGGAACAAAACTGTAGGCAAGGTAAGGGCCCCCAAAGGGACACTTACATGCCTAAACACAAATGCCAGGAGCTTGGGGAATAAACAGGAGGAACTTGTACATAATTATGATGTCATTGGGATAACAGAGACCTGGTGGGACTCCACCCATGACTGAGCCACAGGTATAGATTGCTATACCCTGTACAAGAGGGATCGAGTGGACAGAAGGGGCGGGGGTGTCGCTTTCTCTGTCAAGGAAAGCTATGCGTCCCTGCACGCCGACTTTGGCACTCAGGGTGGACAACTGGAGACCCTCTCAGTTAAAATTCATGGGGAACATGGCACAGGGGACACAATGGTGGGAGTCTGCTACAGACCTCTTACCCAGGATCAAGAGCTTGACCAGGAGTTCACCAGGGAATTGGCTGAGGCTGCACGCTCCCAATGCATGGTTGTAATAGGAGACTTCAACTACCCAGACATCTCGTGGGAAGAGCGCTCAGCCAAATCCGAAGGTCGCAAAGCTCTCTCTCGTGCGTGGATGAGCTCTATCTGACTCAAGAAGTCTATGAGCCGACGACAGGTAAAGCGCTGCTCGACCTGGTACTGGCAACAGGGGACAACCTAATCAGTGACCTAACAATTGAAGGGAAGCTGGGGTGACAGTGGCCACGAGCTGATCACCTTCACCATCTGGTGTAAAGCTGGCAAGTCAAATCAGCAGTACAGAAGTCCTTGACTTTAGGAAAGCTGGCTTTGACAAGCTAAGGAGGCTTGTCAGTGAGGCTCTAAGGGACCACGACCCAAAGGGGAGGGGAGTTCAGGATGAGTGGTTGCTCCTCAAGGGAGCAATCCTAGATGCACAAGCTAAGTCTATCCCACCTCGGAGGAAAGACAGCAAAAGAGCACAGCATCCCCCTTGGCTCTGCAGGGAACTAGCAGACCTCCTGCATCTAAAAACAAAGACCTACAAAGGATGGAGGACTCGATCCACCTCCAAGGAGGAATATTCTGCACTGGTCTGGACCTGCAGGGAGCAAACCAGGAAAGCCAAGGCTGTGACTGAACTCCAACTAGCTACAAGTATCGTGGACAATAAAAAGTCCTTTTTTAGATATGTGGGTAGCTGGAGGAAAAGCAAGGGCAACATTGAACCCCTGCTAAACCAGATGGGACAACTGACAACCGACACCCAGGAAAAAGTAAACTTGCTAAATGGGTACTTTGCGTCAGTTTTTTACCAATCCCAAGGGACGCTGCTGCCCATTATGGGATGGGAAGGCCCGTGTGAGGGAGATTCCTTACCCTCCATCAATGCTGACCTTGTAAAGGAACACCTTGAGAGGCTGGACACCTTCAACTCAGCTGGCCCTGATAGTTTACACCCCAGGGTACTCAAGGAGCTGGCGAGCATCATAGCTCAGCCCCTGGCATGGATCTTCGAGAACTCCTGGCGCTTCGGTGAAGTGCCTGAAGATTGGAAGAAGGCCAATGTGGTGCCTATCTTCAAGAAAGGGAGGAAAGTGGATCCAGCAAACTACAGGCCCATCAGCTTGACCTCTATCCCAGGGAAGGTCTTAGAAAAGATTATCAAAGAGACCATTCTTAACAGACTGGCTGATGGCAACATCCTGAGGGATAGCCATCATGGGTTTGTTGCGAGTTGGTCCTGCTTGACCAATCTTATTTCCTTTTACAGCCAGGTGACCTATCACCTGGACAAGGGGGAAGAGATTGATGTCATATATCTCAAGTTTAAAAGAGCCTTCGATCTGGTATCCCATGATCACCTCTTAGCAAAACTGGCCAACTGAGGCCTTGTCTTCATCACGATCCGCTGGCTGGGGAACTGGCTCCCTGGTCAGACCCACAGGGTAGTGGTTGATGGAAGTCAATCATCGTGGTGCACTTCGACCAGTGGGGTCCCTCAAGGCTCTGTCCTTGGGCCTATACTATTCAACATCTTCATTAATATGTGGACACTGGTGTCAGAAGTGGATTGGCTAAGTTCGTCGACAACACCAAACTTTGGGGTAAAGTGTGAACACCTGAGGACAGAAGGGTGATCCAGGCCGACCTTCACAGGCTCAGGAAATGGGCAGACAAGAACCTGATGGTGTTTAACACTGAAAAATGCAAGGTTCTCCACCTTGGGAAGAAAAACCTGCAGTATGCTTATAGGCTTGGCAGTTCTACGCTGGCTAGCTCTAGGGATGAAAGGGACTGGGGGTCATCATGATTGACCAGAAGATGAACATAAGCCTTCAATGTGATGCTGCAGCTAGTAAAGCAAGCAAAACGCTAGCTTGCATCCATAGATGCTTCTCAGGTAAATCCCAGGATGTCATTCTCCCATTGGACTTGGACGTGGTGAGGCCGCAGCTGGAGTACTGCATCCAGTTTTGGGCTCCACAATTCAAAAGGATGTGGAGAAGCTTGAGAGAGTTCAGAGAAGAGCCACGCGCATGATCAGAGGTCAGGAAAACAGACCTTATGATGAGAGGCTGAGAGCCATGGGACTTACAGGTGGCCGCCTGTAAGTTTATCAGGGGTGCTCACCAGGATCTGGGGGAACATCTGTTCACTACAGCGCCACAAGGGATGACAACATCAAATAGTCACAAATTCCTCCATGACCATTTCAGGCTGGACACAAGGAAGAACTTCTTTAGTGTCCGAGCCTCCAAGGTTTGGAATAGACTGCCGCCAGAGGTGGTTCAAGCACCTACTTTGAACACCTTCAAGAGACATTTGGATGTTTATTTCGTTGGGATCCTATGACCGCTGCTGACTTCCTGCCCCTGGGGCAGGGGGCTGGACTCGAAGATCTTCTGAGGTCCCTTCCAATCCTAATGTCTATGAAATAAAGCCTATGAAACAAAGCACTGTAATTCTACATATATAATAAAGTAGTTGCACCCATTCTTTATATTCAAAACCCAACCTTAACTATGGATATCCTAGTTACACTTCACCTTTTTATATATAAATTAGGGGCGCACTGTTAGGGATTCTTTGGGCTAATATTGATGGCCAATTTTTAAGGAGCCATATCTGCCA